TATGGTAATTACAGTCTTGTAAAGCCACTAGTACGCGCAGCGTTTCGGGCAGGTCCTTAATCTAAGAAAATTTTAAGTAGGTAAATACTTGCAAAATTTATAGACAAAAAAATGATAACAGTTACATGGAATGAAAAAAAAGAAGATGAAAGAAAACTGTAGGTACAGTATATTAAAGCACATAGGTAGCTAAGATTGATTGCAATGACAGCTTGAATGGTAGTTGACAAAAATTGGTAGGCACAATACAGCAGAAACAATATAAGATTGATTGCAATGACAGCTTGAATGGTAGTTGACAAAAATTGGTAGTCACAACACAGCATATGGCTAGCACATAAAAGATGACAGCAATGAACACAATGATAAGGTTGTTTGATACTACATAAAAATTAGGAGATTGGGTAACACTAGGTACAGAGCAAATTTACAGCTCAGTGTAGGAAACTAAGAAGATGAAATTAGGTACTTTTTGATTTTGCTTTTAAATAAGGCAAAAGTTTACAGTTTTTCAATTCACTAGGGAGTGAGTTCCATAGACAGGTCCCTTAATTTGCATAGAGTGTTTACACAGATTAAGTTTGACCCTGGGGATATCAAAGAGATATTTATTTCTGGTGTGGTGATAATGGGTCCTATTACATCTGTCCAGGGAGAGTTTCAGAGCATGGTTTGCTAAGTTATGCTAAGTGAACCGAGGCATCGGGTAAACAAAATAAAAAACATGCCCAAATGTCTGTCCTGTGTGTGAAATGAACTTGCATCCTTTCAGTTGTGAATCAGCTGTGCTGACCACTATACTACAGAAATGTAAAATACGTTGCTGAAAATTACATACCTGTATTACAAAAGGTATAAAAAAATCCAGAAACAGCAAGGCCCCTGCACGAACACCAAAAATCCATGCCCGAAAGACTGCAAGGCCACGTCGCCCAGGCGGCAGCGAGAGCAGCGAAGCCACGAACGCCACAGGCATGAGGGAAGAACACAGGCAGCTTAGCCGCAAGAACACGGCTGACCACCCGGGACACCATCACCCGCGAACCGGGAAGAACAGAACCGGATCAACGCAAAACGCGCTCCGGACCCAAACGCCGTGGCACGCAAACAACAGCAGAGGGCCGCCACTGAACACAAAAACGACACACCCCCGGCCCGACCAACAAAGCACCAACAAACCCTGGACCCCTCCAGAATGCAGCAGCCCCACCCCGCGCCAGAAAAGATGGAGACTGCTGCCATCAAACAACCAAAACGCTAAAACCGAAGGAGCAAGAAAACACAGCGAACCGACCCCCAGAGGCAAAGGCCCAAAGGAAAGAGCCGACGAAAAAACACACCGGAACCGAAGGGGCACTACCAACCGAGGAGAAGACAGAGCACGCTGACCAGAGACCAGGATGGTGCAAGCGGCGCACGAACAGGCCGGAGGTGAAATGACGCACAAGACAGCTGACTAACGGTGCAGAAGCAACACCAAGACCGAAAGCAAGCTGAAGCGGCTCCGCCTGCGCCGCACGAAAAGAGGCGACAGTATGTGGCAAGACGACGGCCCCCAACCCCCACTAGAAAACCAAGCCGAGAGTAAACCAAGCCAACAAGAAGGACCCACCGAAGAAGGGACAGGAAAAGGAAGGACCGCCAAAATACCCCATACTGCCGCCAAGAAAGCACGCAGGTGGGACACCTACCACGAAGCCACCCGACCACCAACCGGAGGCGAGACCACGAGGCAGAACATAAGCAGCCCCGACAAGGCCCCCCGAGCCCAGGAAAAAGGCGGAGCCGCGAGAAGATCTCGGGCGCGACCACCGAAACCCAGGCGGCACAAGGAGATGGAACGTCTGCCGAACAGAAAAACTCCGAAGCATGCAAGCCCGCCAGGAGTTCAGAAACGACGGGTCCGACGCGAGACATCGCAAGAACCCCCCCAAAAAAATTAAAACAACAACAACCGGCAGGGCAAGCTAGGAAAACCAAAGAAGGCGGAAGGGTCGCCGCCAGAACAGGACCCGAACCAAGGGGCACGAACAACTGCAACAGACCGAGACAAAGAAGCACATCACAGGACACAGGCTGACCAACGCCTAAGAACACATGCAGAACATTCCTGCTGCAGAAGAGGCAGGAAGAAAGAGCAGAAGCACAAAAAAAAAAAAAAAAAAACCAGGAGAACAACCAGGGGTGGACAATCAGGCAGGGACAAAAACCCCACGCAATCCCCAGGCACAACACGGCAGCAAAGCGCCACTCCACAACCGGACACAGGAACAAGGACACGCCACCGTGAAACACGGTACCAATGCACACGTGCAGCAGCAGCAGCAACAGGCACCACTGCAACATGCAACATGTAAATAGCAACTCCCCTCTGCAAAGGCAGAGAACGGAGCAGGCAGACCCCAGACAGGGCCAACGGAGACACGACAAAACCCTGCAGGCCCAGAAACCTGCACCAGGCGACCGACGGCGGAGAAACCCCGCTCGATACCTGCTGGATGAGGTACTGGGAGCTCTTTTACACCTCAAGCCCGGCCCAAGGTCAGGCCAGACCGGCCAGAGGACGGCCCACCAGGCAGCTGCTAGGAGCAGTCCACCGGCCCACATACCCCCACAACCAGGACGGGCCGGAACTGCCATACGAAAACAGGCCAGTGCGCCCTGGAAGTCCACGGACGAACCAGCAAGAAGGCTTATGCTCGCAAGTAGGTCGTGTAACAAGCACAGACCACTGATGGTAATACAGTGTTCCCCAAAAGTGCCAATAGCACCACTGCACTCCACTGGTACTATCCCGCAAGTTCTACCAGATAGGCGGGACCCAAGAGCCAGAGCTCAAATCCTGCAAGCACAGCCAGGAGCCACACCAGGTGAGTACAGAACCAACCCTACAACCCCCACACCTCACAACATTAAAAAAGGAGGGTCCCCTGAACGACTCCAGCATGGGTTGGACATGCACATGAGGGGGACAGGAAGGGGTGATAAAGGGACAGTCACTGGTGTGCGAACGGTCTCAGTCGTACAAAATTATACCTAAATAAAGACAGGTATATGAACACCGCCGCATCCAGCGCCCGGCCAAAAGACGCCAGACCGCAGAAACTCACCTGGCGAATGGTGGCTCGAACTTGACACGACTCAACCGTGCCCAGAAGAACTTGGGAGCACCGCCAGGTGAAGACGCCAGAGCCGGACCCGCAGGAGAACAGGGAGAGGCGAAGGAGGCGGTCCACACCCATGACACAGAAAACCGCGGTGTCCTCCCCACAACTGGGAACCAGGACACCCCTGGCGCAAAGGGGCACATACCGCAGCCAGGGAGAAGAACGAGAGGCGAAGCACTGTAGCAAAAAAGGGCGCAAAACCCCAGCACTGAACCATCGCCCAGACCAAAACAAACTCCACGGCGCATGCGCATAACACGCTGGCCGAACCGCACACCCTCCCTGCGGGAAGGCGCCAGCCAGGACTATTGCACGAGAAAAAGAGCCAAAAGAGGAAGCAGGAACAATAAAACCGGCCAAAGAAGCAAAGAGCCCAAAAAAAGGGAACCCAAACGGGCGACAAGTAGCCCAAACGGGCGACAAGTAGCCCAAACGGCCGACAAGTAGCCCAACCGGGCGACAAGTAGCCCAACAGGGCGACAAGTAGCCCAACAGGGCGACAAGTACTAGGAGCCGACAGACGTTCCAATAATGCGGGAAGTAGCGAAAAACCTTCCCGTACCCTCGAGAACACAGAAGCCAACACTAGTCCCGAAGGCACACGAAGGCGCAGGCGCACCCGAGATCAAAAGTCACGCAGAACCCCATCGAACGGGGAAACATGACAAAAACACCGTCCCAAAAAGCGGGGGAGGAAACATCCACCCACAGGACGGAACCAACCGACTCAAAGGCCAAGGAACCGAGCCCGGGGAGGGGCCGACGTCCAACAGCACGTACGGCGAGTGGGGAGGAAAGACCCCACTCCGCGTAACCACAAGCCCCGCCTAGAGGGGGATAAAACCCCCCACGGGGTCTAACGGGGCCAAGGCCCCCCAAGTCAGCCCCTCCCCAGCCCCGGGAACCTACACGACAGGCCCCGGGGCCGAGCCGTTCCCCCAAAGCCCCGGCCGTACCAGAAAACCGGGGCAGCCGTGAAAACACTAAGGAAGGGAGCCCACTGGCAGACTCATACAACACGGCTGGAGGAACAGGCCCAAATGCCCCCGTCACTACCCCGGAAGGGGAATTCCCCGAGACTGCCCGAGTCTCAACACCACCAAACACCCCGCCCTGAACCTACAGACGGTAAGGAACCGGATGCAGGCAGGAAGGGTGAACCAGGGGAAAGACAAGGGGGCGTGGATGGAACCGAAGCAACCAACACCCCCAAGTCCCAAAACGAAATACAACGGGGCAGCCCCGGGGCTCCCGGGGAGGAAACCACGAGAACGTTGCCACCACCAAGGCTCAAGTGCAACGCCCCTGCTGCCCGCACCCGCTTGTTAGCACAACTGGGTAACCGAGCCACAACGAGCAACCAAACTCGCAGGACACCGGGTCGAAGGTGTCACCGACCCCACAGGCAGCAGACGGAGGCAAAACAGAGAGTCACCCAGAGACAAAAGGTGAGAGCAACCCTCAAACTCGCTGGAAGCGAGGGGGGGGCTCTGGGGTCACATCCATCGGACCCGCGCGCCCCCAGGGGTTTCCCAGGGTCCCGAGCGTTTACTTTAAGAGGACTCGCGCTCAGGTAATCCCAGGCAGGGTACTGCTAACCGGCACCCAAGCTACCAAACAACTTTCTAAGAGCTGAACCCCCGGGACGTGTACACTCACGGGGACCTAGCAGGGGGTACCACCAGAAATACTCAGAACACAAGGCTGTGTGTGAAATGAACTTGCATCCTTTCAGTTGTGAATCAGCTGTGCTGACCACTATACTACAGAAATGTAAAATACGTTGCTGAAAATTACATACCTGTATTACAAAAGGTATAAAAAAACATAATATCCTAATCTATGTATCTAGACACTTTTGTATATATAATACTCTGTGATTGGAGTTTTTTCTTTACCATGCATGCTATCAAAACAAATGCGGCAACAGTATAAATTACGATCACTGTTGCCTCTTGCGGCATGTGGCACTTGTAGATGGAGTAGTTGTTGGAACTCACAGTCAGCTGTTAAGAGAATTATTATAGTTATTATAGCTTACCAGCTGTTAAGAGACAATTATTATAGTTATTATAGTTTACCAGTCATATCCTTCACTGTATCCTCTGTCAAGCTAATGAAAATTCATGCTGAAACTCTGAAAACTGGAATTAAATGCTTTTTAACTATGTCAATGTGTAAAATATTATGAATACTGCGTTAATTCTCTCTGATTAATGATAGAAAACATATCCTGCTTACCATAGAAAATGTTGGATTATTTTTATTACGCCACGAGAATGAGGAAATAGTGTATTCATGTATTGTTGATCCTTTGTTAAAGTGCTTTATATGGCAGCCATGATGGGTATGACCACTGAAAACCAGCCGGGGTGATAACTCATCCAACAACTGAAAATGTAAAAGTATACCATAAATATGAAAAAGTTGTCATTTATTTGAATGAATATCCAGTACAGTATTTCAATATATTGGTACACCAGATCATGCTGAGCATAATTTATACTAAATGCTTTTATACCACTAAAACAATGGCAATAGAAGACCTGCCAGAAAGTTGGAAGTCAGCAAATATAGTCCCAATATATAAATAAGGAAGACAGCCAGGAGGCATTGAGCTACAGCCAGTGTCCCTAATTTGCATACTATGTAAGGTGATGGAGATCATGAGATCTCTAGTAGTACTAGAGATCAGCTGGTAGTACATCTGGAGAGAAAGGGCTTTGTAATACAACCAACATGAGTTAATTACTCGTTTTGTCAGACAGAGGCAGCCAGTGAATATTATATTTGGAGTTTTGAATTACGTAGTTTTATACTGAAAATATGCATATACTGTACAGTATGTGAAAACAGTGATTCGTGCTATTTTACTCAAATCCACCTGGACTTTTCAAAATATGATGAATATTGGAAATATGACTCTTAAGCCAATATTTTTTAGCATAATTCAGGGAGATTGAACACATTTTGAGTTTGAAATGACATTATATATTTTAAATTACAGTATATTAAATTTTAAGTTTCTTTTTATACCAAAAATATGCAAATAAGTGAAAATGGTTGAGTGTTTTCCACTTTTTCGTTGGGCATTTGCCACTTTTTTGTTGGGTGTTTGCCACTATTTTGTTTATGCAGTACTTTGGGCTTGTAGTGAGGTCTCCCCAAGGTTCAACTACTAGCCTTCCATTGGCAGCATTGCCACAATAGTTGCCCAACCTCTGGGTACCTATTTAATGCTAGGTGATCAGAGGCATCAGGTGAATAGAAACATGTTCAATGCTTTCTGAATTGCTCAGGATCCAAACCTGGGATACCTCATTATGAGTCGAGAATGAACCCAATTGTACTACCTCTCAAATTTAAGAAAATTACTGTACACGACCGAGTGACAGAAATCAGTCAAGACAGAAAAGGGCACGCAGACTGCATTCTTTTCTACTTACAGAAAGCCTTTGATACAGTATGTCATAAGAAACTTGTGCACAAGCTGGAGAAGCAGGCATGAGTGACAGAGGATAATGGAGCAACAGAATACAGTCAGTGAGGTGAGATCTCAGAGTTAAGAGATGTTCCCAGTGAAGTTTTGCAGGAGTCCGAACTACGATCTATCCTGTTTCTGATACTGTATATGTAAATAATGTTCCAAAGGTAATAGACTCATTCCTGTCAATACTTGCCAATGCAAAACTTATCATGAGGATAAGCAGGGAGCCGGTCGGCCGAGCGGACAGCACGCTGGACTTATGATCCTGTGGTCCTGGGTTCGATCCCGGGCGCCGGCGAGAAACAATGGGCAGAGTTTCTTTCACCCTATGCCCCTGTTACCTAGCAGTAAAATAGGTACCTGGGTGTTAGTCAGCTGTCACGGGCTGCTTCCTGGGGGTGGAGGCCTGGTCGAGGACCGGGCCGCGGAGACACTAAAAGTCCCGAAATCATCTCAAGATAGTTACTCAAGATAGGATTAAGACTTGGAAGACAGCAAGAAACTACAAGAATGCCAAATAATAAAACTAGGTGTAGGGAGAAAACTGTATATTGTGTATAACTGGCAAGTGTGTTCGAAAGACACACTTGCCTAGGTGTGTATACACTAGGTTATGTATAATTTTGGTTGACAATTTATTTCCTTGCCCCTTATGCATTTACCCAAATGATGTATTGTTCATAAGCCAAGTAGGACATTCAAAGCAGTTTTAAAATTAACTTTTTCGTAAACATACCAGTTCTGTTGAATCTTTTGAAATACATTCCCATCGTTCCCTGAAGTTAATATATTTCACATCTTCTGGTGCTTCATCTGACTCGTTACACACTGCATCAGAATCACGAAAAAGTGGATAGTGCTGAGGGAAGAAATTGTAACAAAAATGGTATTTGTAATATTGTATCTATTAAAAATTATTGCTATGAACCTTACATGAACATCAGTGGTAGTAAAATGTCAACAAAACATTTAATTTTACTAAAAAAATTCTCATTTCCAGGAGAGCCGGGACTAGGCGCCAAGGCCTAGTCGCGGCTCGTGACGTCACTTACTCATTCTTCTGACAATTAGGATACTCTTGATACTATAAACAGTAATACTATACAATTTGAATGAAGACTAATTTCTCTAAATTACTGAATACTGTAGAATAATTCATTATACGATACTATGAGACAAAAGCGCCAGTCATTTTGTATTTCAACCGCCAATTCCCAGGGAATGCCCCCGTGCTCTCAGTCGGGTCCCTACACATGGTTCCAACTTCGCACACTCCCATGTGTAGAGAGAACATACTGGATCATTCCTACAACAACCTAGTTTGTTACAATGACACCAAAATTTTGGGGACAAGCAATATACAAAAAATAGCATTGAATGTAATGAATCTCCACTCCACAACCGGAAGCAAGGAAACCAAAAACAAAGATTTAAAAAAACGATTACGAGCTGCCAGAGGTGAAGCAAAATGCGAGACAGCTTGCAAAATGGAGCCAAGGTCATACATCAAAGCCCAACACCATTAAATATTATGTTCATATCTTTTTTGCTACTCTACTGGTTGTAATGGAGAATACCAGGCAAACCAATCATCAATTGAAACATTATCATGTATTGCGTGATTTATCAAGTTATTCAACACACATACTCCTGCAAATAAAGAGAAATAAGTGAAAACAAGCGGTGAAACATTCAAAGATAACAGAGGAAGCATCAGCAAAATAGAGCACCGAGTGTTGACAGACACAAGACACAGCCATCACACAACCTTCCAGAGTACCTCTACCCAGTGAAACAATAAATATTCACTTATTTTCTTGTTTTTCTTACATTTTGCATACAAATTCATAATTCTATAATGAAAGATTTTTTTTTAAATTTGTGTATTTTTTTTGCTCATAGGCAGGTATGACTATTTTTCTATAGCCATTGTCCAAGGGTTGCTTCAAATGATGAAATTCTATGGACTTGGCTGCCCATTGTTTATGGGAGTTTCTATGGAAGCCAACCCCTTTTAAAGAGAGACAATGAAGTCTACCCTGACCCGCCTATGAATGTCCCCTTATCCCCTCACCCAGACACCATGTAAAATTTGGTGAGGCTTGTCCAAAGTATTTGGCCTCCAACCTTGGACAGATAGACATCCAATTATATATAGATAGAGTATAGATATGCAGGCGATGAGTCACAATAACGTGGCTGAAGTATGTTGACCAGACCACACACTAGAAGGTGAAGGGACGACGACATTTCGGTCCGTCCTGGACCATTCTCAAGTCGATCATTCCCATTCACAATCGACTTGAGAATGGTCCAGGATGGACCGAAACATCGTCGTCCCTTCAACTTCTAGTGTGTGGTCTGGTCAACGAGTATAGATACATTGAGATGCGAGTGGGGAGAGTAATTGATCTGAGGCACCTATTTTACAATTACATTTTTAATAAATATTTCTGGTCAAAGTAATATAACAACTGTGTTCTGTAATGTTTTTTCATAACTTGGGATTTAACAGTTTATCATTTCACATAATCTGCACAAGTTCATTTCATGCATAATTTTACTATGTTAATGAAGCCTTACCTGCAAGATGATTGGCTGACTGTACTGCTTAAGCTCAGGACTTTGCCAGTGTTCACAAGCATCGTTGTTGCCTGCAGCACAGCTTAATTGTTCTGTCATGGAATATAGTTCAATAACACAAGATTAGCAAGCACATCTTCAGTTCTGTCATCTGATTATATATGTATGCAAAGGTTAAATTATTCGAAGAAAATCCTACCAAGTAAAGATGACAATGCTTAATAGTCTGACCTGAAAATACATCCTTACTCCATTGTATGGAGTGGTGAGGTACTCACCATACAACATGGTAAATGTATTACCATATTGCAAAAAGTAGGTAAATGATATATCGAGTGAAATCTGACTTTTAATACTACCTCCGACACACAATGTCATTGCAGGCAAATGCTTCTGTTCATGAATCTGTGAAACTTGAAAAACAAAATTTAGACTTTTCAGAACATGTCATGCATCTCTGCCTGATACCTGCTTGATGGGGTTCTGGGAATTCTTCTACTCCCTAAACCTCTAAGGCAAATTTTTCTTTAATAAAGATAATCAAAGTTATAAGCAAACCAAGTTTACATAGACATGTAAATTAAATAACTAAGATAACATATTTAAATAAATTAATGATATTAGCTCACCATATATATAAGCTTGCTTAGCTTAAAGACTGTACTTGTGGTTGGTCTCGAACTCATTATGACATAACAAAAAATACATCAAATTTTGTAACTAGCTTATCATGACTATAATTTGTTTAGTCAAATGAGTTTTGGGGTTCAGTCTTTGAGCCCATTATGTGCCTCAGTAACCTTTTTCGATACTGCCCACAGTAATGGTATGGGATGCATAATAAATGAACTATACAATATCACTAAATTTGTTAAGCAATATCCATAGCTTTACTGTTAAACTTTTCATTCCCTTTTCCTTGCTAGCATGACAAGAAAAATGTTTAAATTCTCTTACTAAGAAATATTAAACTCAGTTGCTATTTTAAGCAATTTCCTCCAGAAAGAATCTATATTTTCAAATCTAATAATCAGCAATAAATATATCTAATAATAACGGCAAATAACTTACTAGATATGCTTTTGATCTTGCCGAGTGCTGGCTTACAGAGGAAACAGTCGTCTCCCTCCATAGCCATGCTGTTGATGATGACGAAGGTTACACCCTCAATCTGCAGCAGCTTCACCGCACCAACACCAAACGCCCATTGAAAGCGACTCACGAGGTACGGACTTATGCTGCAAACATTGTATTATGGCTAATAATGTTCAACCAAACTTAGATCACAATAAATTAAAGAGGTAAAATAAAAACAAACTATTCTGGTAATGAAAAGTCATGTTGTATTAACTTTCAAAATCACAAAACTAAGTGATGTAAGACATGTTTCTATAAAAAAAAATATTTTCAAGTGCTAATTATAAGACAAACATTCTCAAGTGTGTGTCCATGTACATATGTAACTGTTTGCATGTGTGCTTGCTTGCTTGTCTATTTGTTCATGTGTGCATGCAAGCACATCTGTATGGACATGTGTATACATGCATGCAGGCATATGCATAGGTATGTATGTATGTGTGTGTATATGTAATTACCTATTTGTAGTTTACATGAAATTAGCTGCATTCATGATGCTCCATCTTCTTTATTGTCGAATTTATTTGTAAAGTTTTCTGTGGTTTTGGCAGACATTACCTCCTCCTTCCATGTATTCCAAACATCCACATCTCTGTGAAGAAATATTTCTAAACATTTTCCTTATTTCTTTTTTTAATATTACCTTAAAACTGTACCCTTTCGTACAAGTCACTGGCTTGAATTTTTTTTAAATGTATTTCACAAACTGATTTGTAATATGTGACTTGTCATCTTGTCTCTCCACCGTTTTCTTTCTTCAAGTGTGAATGGATCCAAAATTTCACTCGAGTTTTTCTGCATCTCTCAAATTCATGTGTAAAGCTGGTGCTCGGTAATTTGTGAAAATGCATTCATGGAGACCTAACTTAGAACCAAGCAGTGTAGTCTATAGCTGATAGTCTTATGGGAAAAATAATGTCTTGTGACCAAGAATGATCTTAAATCATATTAAAACACTGAATACTATAAAAGTTTTATATACACATTACCACACACAATAAACTATGCTTGTCTTATAGCAAATTTTTGCATCAACTGACTAAAATGTTAACCTATTTTCAAACTAAAAATGAAAAAGGCTATACATTTTTTTATAAGACAGGGCTAATGCCATTACCATATGCAAAAATACTGATCTATAAGAGAGAATGTCTGTCCGTCTGCTCGTTAGTCTGTTTGAGCTTGGAGACCAGCCACATGGGGCCATCCTCACCCAATTTTGGAAGATGAATGGTCAGGGGTATGGTTTGAACATAGGATGGCGGGGGTCTGTCCTACTGGTCCTATTAAGAGGGGGTCAGGCATAATAATGACCTTCATAATCAGTGAAAGATGACTGGCCAAATCCTTAGATTTCTTGGTAAATATAGTACAGTAAATAAATGTAAATGTATCAGTTTGAGGTTGAAGGTCAGTCAGGGAAAAAGAGGGAATGAGAAAGGGGTTAAACAACGGGAGGAAGGGAGGAAGAGAAAGGGTACAAGCAATTCTCAAAAAGGTTGGCAGGCCCAGTACAGTAGCTAGGGGAGACAATGAGTGGCCCATTAGAAAAGAACATTTCATTACAGTCGGTGCTTGATATTTATAATTGATATCCAACCATATATTCTTAAATTATTTAATGTGGCTAAAAAAATCTGTAGAGGATAAATATAGATAATTAGAAGGGTTACCTGGTGGTGCCTGGGATAATCTTTCTCTGTCCCCCTTTTCTCTCCCTTCTCCCCAAGGTCTTAGCTTTACTTGTGTTGTAATTTCCATACTGTCTCTCTCTGCTTCTCTCCTCACTCTGAGGTACTCATTCCTGGCCCTCTTGTATCTCCCTCTGCTCTCAGGTCTTCTATTTCTGTAATTTCTCCATGTTCTTGTACTTAATTTCTTTGCTACCTTACATGCCTGACTGAATCACGGACTCTTCTGTTGCTTTTAATTTTTCTCCTTTTGGGCTGGGATAAACCTGTCTACAACTTCCTGGCTCTTCTGAGTGACGTAGTCCATCATACCATCATATGTTATACAGTCTTTTCTCCAAGTTCTGTTTCCCATGGTATTCCCATTACAAAGTTCCTCATCTCATCATATTCATTCATCTCAGGTATTCAAGACGAAGAGGAGACAACTGACCAGAAAAGGATGACCCAAGGCAACACAGTCATGACAAGGCCTGAGAACATTAACTTAATACTGGGCAACCAAGGCCCTGTAAGACTACCAAAACCACTGTGCCTGAGTATCAGCCCCAGAAATTTTAGCAATGAAAGCTGCAAGAGCAGCATATTTATAAACATAATGTAGAGAGGCAAGGAGAGGTTTGAGAGAGGATAAGGATAGATGGGTGAGAGAGGAGGGAAAATTGGGTGAGAAGGAGGAGTGGGGAGGGAGGGGAAAGACCTAATACCGCTGGAAACTCCACCTAATTTTTAGTAATAATTAAAATGTTGTATGAAAGTATTTTATATGAATAATTAAAAAAGTGACATAATAATTTACTAATTATAATGCATGAAAACAAAACTTATCAAAAAACATACAGGAAATATATTACCTGTAATGAAACCCAATATCATGGTTGCCAACTGCTATGAGCACATGAGAGTCTTCTGGGACATAAAACAAATCATGAAATCTTGCCACATAGTCTTCAAATTCCCCAGGAGTGCACCACTTTCCTTCATCGAAGAGATCGCCTGTATAAAAAAGAAATACAGGTAAATACAAACATAACTCGTCAACAATATACTTCAGTACTGTATAAATGAATGGATTTTTATAGAACAGATTGGCAGGCAAACATTAAATTCAAGCTGACAGTTGTTTTATGTTGTGGCAGTTGTCCTGCCTCATACAAACAGAAACCAACACTCAAATAATAAACTACATATTACCCAAACTATCTTGTTTAAAAAGCTCAAAGGATTTACACTACACTCTACTGTAGGCTGACTACCTATTGAGGATTCTGGGGATCAATGTCCCCACAGCCCGGTCTCTGGCGCAGCCTCCTGGTTGTTGGTCTGATCAACCAGGCTGTTTGATGTGGCTGCTTGCAGCCTGATGTATGAGTCACAGCCTGGTTGATCAGGTATCCTTTGAAGGGGCTTGTCGAGTTCTCTTTTCAACACTGAGAGGTCAGATGGTTATGCCCTGTATATAGAGGGAAGAATGTTGAAAAGTTTTGGGCCTTTGATGTTGATCGAGTTCTCTCTCAGCATGCCTATTGCACTTCTGCTCTTCAATGAGGCTATTTTGCACATCCTGCCATGCCTTCTGGTAACATGTTATCATATTTCTGTGTGCAGATTTGGAACAAGTCCTAATGTTTTCCAAGTGTAAATTATTGTGTAAATCTCTTGCCTGCACTCTAGGGAATACAGATTTAAAATTTTTAGGCAGCCCAATAATGTTTATTGAGTGGATTCTAGCAGTAAAAGATCTTTGCATGCTCTCCAAGTAAGCAATTTCTCCAGCTTTGAATGGGGCTGTTAGTGTGCAGCAATATTCCACTCTAGAGAGCACTAATGTAAGATCTTAAAAAAAAACATCATTGGTGTGTGGCATCTCTTGTTAGGAAGGTTCTTCTTATCCAACCTGTCATTTTTTTGGCAGTTGTGACAGCAATTTTGTTGTGTTCTTTAGAAGTAAGGTCTTCCGACATGATCATTCCTAAATCTTTTACATCACTTTTTTATCAATAGTGTGGTTTGACTGTTATAGACTACTGTATAAACAAAGAAAAATACAATATTCTCCTTATTTCTTATCATATTCTAAGGCTATAACAGAATTTATTTTTCTTTTACTTTACCTAAAAATATGAACACCTTTGGTCTGTGAAGGGCAACAGTTGTCTGAAAGGCACGGTGCATCTGCCATTCTCTGCAATTATAAGAGAGATCTAAGAAACCTGTAAGGGTTCATATATGCTATCTCCAGATTAGAGTTACTGTACTGTATAAACAACATAAGAATTTAGGAAACTACAGAAGTCCTATTGACTCGTATGTGGTAGTTCATATTTATATCCACCAAAACCCATTAATATGTACAGTATGTCTAACCTATGCTTGAAACAATCAAGTGATCCCACATTTATTATGTTGCCCGATAATCTGCTCTACAAATCAACAACCCTGTTTCAAAACAAGTGTTTACCCAGGTCTGCCCTAAATCTAAACTTACCCAATATATATATCCATTGTTTCATGTTTGATTTTGCATTGATATATTTAGTACCTTAAAAATTTGTTAATTTAATCAACCTGTTTCTTATCAATTACACTTTATTCCAATCTCTAAACATGTTCGTACCAGAAAACACAAAACTGTATTCACTATACATATTAACATTCTCCTTACCTGCGTAACTTATCAAACCAATGTCCGTTTATGCTACCCAGTAAGTGGGTGTCTGCAAGAATCATACCATGAAGCCGAGTTCCATGATCAGTTACATTGTGATTGGCAGTTTCTGGATTCAATGCAGGCCACTGACACTGCAAGACATATTTTATCAGTCAAGTCTGTACAAATTAAGTCATCAGAGATACATAATTAGAGAATACATTATAGGTACACATAAAATCAGAAATTTATCATAATATAGTATAATCAACTTTTTCAAAATCTAAATGCTTGGGATAAAAGAAATTTTGGGTTTTTGGCAATTGTAGTGTATGGAATAACTCATTTTCCCTTCCTCTCCCCTTCCCTGGCCATTGGGAATTATCAGCCCACGTATCCCATTACTGTATAATCAAAATACTGTACAACAATGGCTGTTTCTTCAGCAAACATTAAAAAATGCACTTCTTTTTGGGTATCAAACTACAAAGTGGGGAAGAGGGGGAAAGGGTGGAAAGAGGGGAGGAAGAGACTCCTTCATTGCAGCTGGATGCCCCTTCTATATATATAGTGTATGAATATGGAAATGTCGGTTCGAAGTTGGTGGGGATGAGGGGAAAGAAGGGGTGAAAGTGGAAGAGATGAGAGGGAAGTGGGTGAAGATGAGGGAGGGGAAGGGGGGCCAGGAAGGGGAGAGCATGGGGAAAGTTGTAGAGAGGGGAATGAGGGTGTGAGAGGAAAAGAAGAGGGGTGGAATGTGCAAGTGGGGGAAGAGAGAGGCTATCCTGGGCACTGCCAGGTACCCCTCTTAATATTATTTCACCAAAATAGTCCAGGGTCACAAACTGTTTGGATTTTGTAAAATTTCAGATTAGGCTACACAGTTTCTGATTTAAGACTCATTTGTATGCACAAGGTGAGTAAGTTTAATTATTACTGAACACTCAAATAACTTACTTGAGATATAACAATATAGTAGTGCAAGAATTCACAGTAAAAAATCACACTTGCAATAGCAATAACTATTTTTCCCAAAAATAACACATTAAGTTTACTTCTTGCCACCATCCTCCACCAGGGCAGTCAGGAAGTGCAAGCAATCATCTGATGATATAAGATGAATACAAATACAGTGATTAGTTTTGTCCACAATGAAATTTCGCACATGCAGGTTATTACTAAGACCACAGTATAAGAAATCTATAAAATAGTATATTGTTCTGTAGATATTGTTTTTTATAAAAGTATTTGATACATTCTTTATATTGCTGTTCTTTTCTTCTACATATTCAAATTTGTTGTTTTTGGTATTGAGCAGAGGCACCGACTACAAATGTCGGATGATGACATCCGAACGACAAATGTCGTATGACAAATGATATTGTCACACCCTCAATCACATGGGTTCTTAACATGTTTCCACATGAACTCTACCGCATGATCCTCTAGTGTAATGTGCTCTAACAATATCCATATAGTTAAGAAGCTCTTCCTTACATGTCTTTCAGACTTGGGCATTCAGTGTCCAATTATGCCATCTCATTCTGGATTCATACCTATCAAACATAAGTGGATATATTTAAATTTATTTATTTTTTCCCAAGATTGAGCTTAGGAGCAGATAACTTCTGATTCTTGTTAGCAGGCCGAGAGCTTTCCCCTTCCTTGGCTCATGGTAAGCTCTGCCCACTAGTTTCCCTTGGAATGCAACCCATCAATCAATTAAAAACCAGGTACTCAATTGCTACTAAGCAAACAGGGGTGAACAGCTAAGGATTGGCAATGCTCCCTCTCCATGGCTCAATCCCTGACCAAATTATTCACAAATAAAGCAAGAGAGTGCAGGGCGAGAGAGTGTTACTACTTCACCATCAGCGTTGATTTGAACTAAGCTGTAATATCTATGTTTGCAAGAGCCGAGTTCCTGCCTCTGGGCCCAATTTTCTATCAATCATCTTGTCTTTGTCATATCTATATTGGAGTTCCCTTTCAGTATTGGTTTAAGCTTCCAGTACCTCCCTTTCCGATGTATTCCATTTGCTCACTACCACTTATGTCAATCTGGCATCTCTGAACTTCCAGTTTACTCTTTTGGCCCCTCATTTTGTTCCCTCACTTGACCTCACCACGTCTTCACTTCCTATTTTATTCCACTTCTATACTTCTTTGACCAAGAAAGAATGACTTCTAATATCTGACTCATACATGTACTTAGTCTTAATATAATTAACCTGTGGCTCCCTGTTCATGTTCCAACTTTGGCAAATTTACCTGAATTCACCTGAGGACCCCTATCTCCCTAGTGGCCTCAACAGGTACAGGAGGCTGGCAGCTTGAGAAGCTAACCCAGCCTAACCTAAGCTAACCCAGCATAACCTAATCTAACCTAGCCTAAACTAAGCTAACCCAGCCTAAATTAAGTTAGCCTAGCCTAACCTAAGCTTACCCAGCCTAGCCTAATGATAAATACAATTTTAACAATTATAAAGTTAGCTTTGTTAAAACATCAATATATGACTTGACTGAATCTCCATCTCTGCATGACATTATTATTTAATTAAAATAATTAATAATACATGTAACAGAGGCTAATGCCACTGATACACACAGCATTTTGGGGATAATATAAGAACATTTAGAGAACAATATACACACTTAATGTGAATAATATTTAAAACTAAAATGATTCAAAAACACTTATGAATTAGCAAAGAGAATTAGAAAAATTACTGACAATTTTTATGTAATATTTTCCAACAGCAATTTCTGCAACAGAAAATTGCATTTTTTTTGTAAGACAATTAGTTGATTCCAAGTATTTTTAAATTGTAGAAGAGATTAAAAAGACGATTTACAATTTGTATTATATTGGGACATAGCATAGTTTAGTAACAGCAATTAATGAGTAAGGAGAAGTAATTACTTCTCATTAATGAGTAATTAATGAGTAATGAGTAATGAGAAGTAATTACTTCTCATTACTCATTTCTTATCTTTAGTAATGAGAAGAGGCGAGTAAGACTGGTGAGTAGGACTGGTGAGTAAAACTGGCGAATAAGACTGGTAAGACTGGTGAGTAAGTAAGTAATTATCAAAGTCTTATTATCAAATTATCAATTATCAAAGTCAAATTATCAAAATTATTATCATGTTCATGTAATTGCTTATCTTATTGTATCGTGACATTCTTTTCTATATTGATATATATTATCTGTCTATTGTTACTTACAGTGTACCTGAGAGTACCTGTAAGCAATCTACCTCATTTTTTCATTTTTGCTCAATTTTTTTTTGTATTGCTTAGTCTTGTTTATATTTTTGTTTTGTATATCTATATCTTGTGTTTTGTATAGTCCATGTTTATATGTTTTTTTCTTTAATCTCATTTATTACCTAGGTTTCCTAGCCTAGCCATACTCCCTTACTCCATTGTACCCCTGTAAGCCCCTTTTGTGTTTGTTTGGTACAGTATTGTGTACATTTTTTTCTTTTTTTTTTTTCTTGTTTTTCCTGCAATCAGCTTTTTTTATGCAGTCAAGTATAGACCCAGAACTTAACCTCTTATCCACTATCTATGACAATAATCACTTTAATGATCTAAATTGCAGATATTTTGCAGCACATGATGTAAACAATGTATTAACTCATAATCACAATATCTCTGTAATCAATTTGAACGTTAGATCCCTAGGTAAACACTTCGATGATGTTAGTGCCTTGATTGAAGCTATTGACAACAAATTCTCTTTTATTATACTTACTGAAACATGGTTGAAAGAGGATACTACTCAACTCTTTAACATGCCTAACTACTCAGCAATCCACAACTGTCGTCAACTTCAGAGAGGTGGTGGCACTGCTCTTTACTACCACCAAGAACTAACATGCTTAAAAGAAATTAGAACTAGAGACTGCTATGGGGAGTATATCTTCGCCAGCTTCAGAGTCAAGGGTGCCGAGTCTATCCTGTCTGTGGGTGCAGTTTATAGAATTCCTAACACTGATGTGTCCGAATTCAACTCAAACCGTAGAAATCTAATACTTGATAACAGACTGAACAAAAACCACCTAATTATCGCAGGGGACTTTAATATTGACCTCTGCGAGCCAGAACACCCTACTGCTGTTAGCTTCCTCAACTGTATGAATTCCTGCTTCCTCATACCCTTAATCACTAGACCTACTAGAATCACTGATAGCCCTGCCACGACTCTAGATCATATCTGGACAAACATAACCTCTCCGCTTACTTCAGGTATAATCACCGATAGCACTACAGACCATTACCCCACATTTCTCTTACCTAACATTAGCAAACCACCTCTTGAGTCAGGAGAGATACGTTTTAGACTACACAATGAAAATGCTATAGACAATTTTATAACTGCTACTGATAATGTCAACTGGGAGTCCGAGTTAGGTAACATAGAGGACATCAACCTAGCAGTTCAATCTTTTCTTCAAAAAACTCTTAGCCTTTATAATACCCACTGTCCTATACTTACAAAACAAGTCACAACCAAAAGGCTTAACAATCCCTGGCTTACAAAGGGAATACTTAAATCTATTAATAAAAAACATGACCTTGAGAAGAAGTATAAATTAGGAATTGTCTCCAAAGAATTCTCAAATAATTACTCATTATTGCTATCTAAGATAATTAGACGAGCCAAAACTAAATACTACGAAGATAAATTTACCCAAATAAAGAGCAACATTAAACAAACTTGGAGAACAATTTCACAAATATTGGGATCAAAGAAGTCTTTAAATAACAAACCGACTCTCCTGTCTAATAACGATGGTCAGCTTTCAGCCTCTGATTCTGCTATTGAGTTCAATAGGTTCTTCTCTTCCATTGGTTCATCCCTTGCTAATGATATTCCATCTTCCAGTACTGACATTAAGGACTATCTTACAGGGAACTATCCCCAGTCTCTGTACCTAAAGCCTATTAATTCCATTGACGTCAATGAGATAATCCTTTCCCTTAAAACCAAGTCTGGTGCCCTTGAGGAGATACCAACTTTAATCTACAAAAAAGCCTCCAGATCTTTAGCCCCTGCTATTGCTTTGCTCTTCAACAAGTCACTTGAACTCCAAACCTTTCCAGATATTCTAAAAAAAGCGAGAGTAACGCCTGTCCACAAATGTGGTGATCTCACAGATGTTAACAACTACAGACCTATATCAATCCTGCCAAACTTGTCAAAAAATTTTGAAAAACTAATCTATAAGCAGCTTTACTCATATCTAGCCAAACTCAATATACTTAGCCCTTGCCAATATGGCTTCAGGCCCAAAAAAAGCACTAACGATGCACTTATTAGTATGCTTAACTCGATTCATACAGCTCTTGATAAAAATGAGTTCCCTGTTGGGTTATTTGTGGACCTGCGTAAAGCTTTCGATACTGTCAACCACCAAAACCTTCTTCTTAAATTACATCATTATGGTGTCAGAGGACACTCCCTACAATACCTCAAATCCTACCTTACTGACAGGCTCCAATGTGTTTCTGTGAATAATACAATTTCTCCCACCCTACCCATCAACATTGGTGTTCCCCAGCGCAGCATACTTGGCCCTCTCCTCTTTCTCATCTACATTAATGACCTTCCAAATGCCTCCCAACACCTCAAACCAATTCTATTTGCTGACGACACAACCTTCATTTACTCCAGTCCTGATCCCCCTTGCTCTAAATGCCACAGTAAATACTGAGCTAAATAAAGTCCATCTGTGGCTAACTGCCAACAAACGCACCCTTAACATTGACAAAACTTTCTATATTCTGTTTGGCAATAAATCCTCTAATCAAATAAATCTCAAAATAAACAATACCCAAATTTGTAACAAATTAGATGGCAAATTCCTTGGCATTCTCATTGACCACAAGCTGAATTTCCAGGGACACATTCTAAACATATCAAAAAAAGTTTCAAAAACTGTGGGCATTCTTTCTAAGATCAGATATTATGTACCACGCCCTGCCCTGGTGACTCTCTATTACTCCCTTATCTATCCATATCTCAACTATGGTATTTGTGCTTGGGGCTCTACTACCCAAAATCACTTACGTCCTCTAATTACTCAACACAAAGCTGCTATTAGGACAATATCCAATTCTGGCCCCAGACATCACTCGGTACCCCTATCTCAAATCCTCTGAATATGTTAGACATTAAGTCACTGCACATTCTCTCATGTGTATTATACATATATAAAACGCTAAACTATAATGCCAATCCTGATCTCAAAAGCTTCATAGAAGGTTGTAACAGAACCCATGAGCACCACACCAGAAATAAATACAGTTTTGATATTCCTAGAGTACGACTTAATCAAACCAGAAATGCTCTACAAATCAAGGGGCCCAGAATGTGGAATGACCTTCCCAACCATGTTAAAGACTGTACCTCTCTCAACCAGTTTAAGTTAAAAACGAAGCTATACCTAATAAATTCCCTGTAACCTACCTTACCCCTCTATTGTCAACCCATGTATGTTTTTTTTTTTTTTTTTTTTTTTCAAATCAACGCTGTTTGAATGTAATTTTCTGTAATAATTTGTAATTGTATTTGTGCTGCTTTTTCAACAATGTTCCCCCCTCTTTTACCTCTATTTTTATTTGTACTCAACGCATTTTTTTCTTTTTACCCATTAGTTTTAAGCTTTAGTCATTAGTGTTTTTTCCTGCCCGAAACGCTTTGCGTAACAGTGGCTTTAGGCATTGTATGTACTAGCTCTATCTATAAAGCCAACAAACTTTGTAAAATCTCTTTATGTATGTACCTTTACCTAAATAAAAATTATTATTATTATTATTATTAAAGAAAAGACAGGCGTGAAAGACTGTTAAGTAAGACAGCCGGGTGAGGTTGAATATATATATTCACTAAGTTACACTGCAACACCTACAACCGTTAATTACCTTACATATGTTCTACTGAATAGTTCTTGTTGTTATTGTTAATTATGTGTGTGTGTGTGGGGAAGTTCTATGTAAGTCAGCTACACATATATATAATCAAAACATGGATCAGATTGAACTACATATTACCTTTATGTATGGATCTTCCTCCTGTGAATACCTTAATCACCGTCACCCAATCTATCATTGTATGGGCAGATTTTCTAAGTAAATAAAGCTTAATATTACAGCTGTAAACAATATCCAGCTGAGAGTCAGCTGACTGTGGCAGCGATTCCTTGTCTTAAGTTGGGCCGCTTGCGTATGCATAACAAAGCTTAGCCTAACTTGGAATAAATCGAGTTATTTGGTCAAATTTGTTTACTGTAGAGGATATGTGGAGTATAATGTTGGTTTACTGGTTATATGTGGGGTTTGGATGTTTCCCTTCCCTCAGTCAAGTGCTCCTCTGTCAGCCTAGTCCCCATCCTTCAGTCCCTTTCCATCGTCAGCTTGATTCCTTCACTCTGTCTGCCTGGTAACTTCTCTAAGTCAGCCTGATCACTTTCCTCAGTCAGCTTGGTAATTTCCCTCAGTCAGCCTGGTCCTTTCCCTCAGTCAGTCTGGTCCCTTCCCTCAGTCAAGTGCTCTTCTGTCAGCCTGGTCCCCTTCCTTCAGTCCCTTTCCATCGTCAGCTTGGTCCCTTCCCTTAGTCTGCCTGGTCTCTTCCCTCAGTCAGCCTGGTCCCTTCCCTCAGTCAGCCTGGTCCCTTCCCTCAGTCAGCCTGGTCCCTTCCCTCAGTCATGACTTATAGGTAGAGCTAGTACATACAATGCCTAAAGCCACTATTACGCAAAGCGTTTCGGGCATGATAAACTTAAATGACAAGCTTAATACTAATTGAGCATAATGAGTATAATGAAAACAAGAAATGAAAACATAGATGAAAAAGCAGCACAAATACAATTATGTCGACAAACAGCGCTCTTTAAAGAAAAAAACAGACATTGGTTGACAATAGAAGGGTAAGGTAGGTTACAGGGAATTTATTAGGTATAGCTTCGCTTTTAACTTAAACTGGTTGAGAGAGGTACAGTCTTTAACATGGTTGGGAAGGTCATTCCACATTCTGGGCCCCTTGATTTGTAGAGCATTTCTAGTTTGATTAAGTCGTACTCTAGGAATATCAAAACTGTATTTATTTCTGGTGTGATGCTCATGGGTTCTGATACAACCTTCTATGAAGCTTTTGAGATCAGGATTGGCATTATAGTTTAGCGTTTTATATATGTATAATACACATGAGAGAATGTGCAGTGACTTAATGTCTAACATATTCAGAGATTTAAGTAGGGGTACCGAGTGATGTCTGGGGCCAGAATTGGATATTGTCCTAATAGCAGCTTTGTGTTGAGTAATTAGAGAACGTAAGTGATTTTGGGTAGTAGAGCCCCAAGCACAAATACCATAGTTGAGATATGGATAGATAAGGGAGTAATAGAGAGTCACCAGGGCAGGGCGTGGTACATAATATCTGATCTTAGAAAGAATGCCCACAGTTTTTGAAACTTTTTTTGATATGTTTAGAATGTGTCCCTGGAAATTAAGCTTGTGGTCAATGAGAATGCCAAGGAATTTGCCATCTAATTTGTTACAAATTTGGGTATTGTTTATTTTGAGATTTATTTGATTAGAGGATTTATTGCCAAACAGAATATAGAAGGTTTTGTCAATGTTAAGGGTGAGTTTGTTTACAGTTAGCCACAGATGGACTTTATTTAGCTCAGTATTTACTGTGGCATTTAGAGCAAGGGGATCAGGACTGGAGTAAATGAAGGTTGTGTCGTCAGCAAATAGAATTGGTTTGAGGTGTTGGGAGGCATTTGGAAGGTCATTAATGTAGATGAGAAAGAGGAGAGGGCCAAGTATGCTGCCCTGGGGAACACCAATGTTGATGGGTAGGGTGGGAGAAATTGTATTATTCACAGAAACATATTGGAGCCTGTCAGTAAGGTAGGATTTGAGGTATTGTAGGGAGTGTCCTCTGACTCCATAATGATGTAATTTACGAAGAAGGTTTTGGTGGTTGACAGTGTCAAAAGCTTTACGAAGGTCCACAAACAACCCAACAGGGAACTCATTTTTATCAAGAGCTGTATGAATCGAGTTAAGCATACTAATAAGTGCATCGTTAGTGTTTTTTTTGGGTCTGAAGCCATATTGGCAAGGGCTAAGTATATTGAGTTTGGCTAGATATGAGTAAAGCTGCTTATAGATTAGTTTTTCAAAATTTTTTGACAAGTTTGGCAGGATAGATATAGGTCTGTAGTTGTTAACATCTGTGAGATCACCACATTTGTGGACAGGCGTTACTCTCGCTTTTTTTTAGAATATCTGGGAAGGTTTGGAGTTCAAGTGACTTGTTGAAGAGCAAAGCAATAGCAGGGGCTAAAGATCTGGAGGCTTTTTTGTAAATTAAAGTTGGTATCTCCTCAAGGGCACCAGACTTGGTTTTAAGGGAAAGGATTATCTCATTGACGTCAGTGGAATTAATAGGCTTTAGGTACAGAGACTGTGGATAGTTACCTGAAAGATAGTCATTAATGTCTGTACTGGAAGATGGAATATCATTTGCAAGGGATGAACCAATGGAAGAGAAGAACCTATTGAACTCAATAGCAGAATCAGAGGCTGAAAGCTGACCATCGTTATTAGACAGGAGAGTCGGTTTGTTATTTAAAGACTTCTTTGATCCCAATATTTGAGAAATTGTTCTCGAAGTTTGTTTAATGTTGCTCTTTATTTGGGTAAATTTATCTTCGTAGTATTTAGTTTTGGCTCGTCTAATTATCTTAGACAGCAATAATGAGTAATTCTTTGAGAATTCTTTGGAGACAATTCCTAACCTATACTTCTTCTCAAGGTCATGTTTTTTATTAATAGATTTAAGTATTCCCTTTGTAAGCCAGGGATTGTTAAGCCTTTTGGTTGTGACTTGTTTTGTAAGCAAGTCAGCCTGGTCCCTTCCCTCAGTCAGCCTGGTCCCTTCCCTCAGTCAGCCTGGTCCCTTCCCTCAGTCAGCCTGGTCCCTTCCCTCAGTCAGACTGGTCCCTTTCCTCAGTCAGCCTGGTCCCTTCCCTCAGTCCCTTTCCTCAGTCAGCCTGGTCCCTTCCCTCAGTCAGCCTGGTCCCTTCCCTCAGTCAGCCTGGTCCCTTCCCTTAGTCAGCCTGGTCTCTTCCCTCAGTCAGCCTGGTCCCTTCCCTCAGTCAGTGGTCCCTTCCCTCAGTCAGCCTGGTCCCTTCCCTCAGTCAGCCTGGTCCCTTCCCTCAGTCAGCCTGGTCCCTTCCCTCAGTCAGCTTGGTCCCTTCCCTCAGTCAGCCTGGTCCCTTCCCTCAGTCAGCCTGGTCCCCCTTCCCTCAGTCAATCTGGTCCCTTCCCTCAGTCAGCCTGGTCTCCTCCCTCAGTCAGCCTTGCCCCTTCCCTCAGTCAGCTTGGTCCCTTCCCTCAGTCAGCCTGGTCCCTTCCCTCAGTCAGCCTGGTCCCTTCCCTCAGTCAGCCTGGTCCCTTCCCTCAGTCAGCCTGGTCCCTTCCCTCAGTCAGCCTGGTCCCTTCCCTCAGTCAGCCTGGTCCCTTCCCTCAGTCAGCCTGGTCCCCCTTCCCTCAGTCAATCTGGTTCCTTCCCTCAGTCAGCCTGGTCTCCTCCCTCAGTCAGCCTTGCCCCTTCCCTCAGTCAGCTTGGTCCCTTCCCTCAGTCAGCCTGGTCCCTTCCCTCAGTCAGCCTGGTCCCTTCCCTCAGTCAGCCTGGTCCCTTCCCTCAGTCAGCCTGGTCCCTTCCCTCAGTCAGCCTGGTCCCTTCCCTCAGTCAGCCTGGTCCCTTCCCTCAGTCAGCCTGGTCCCCTTCGCTCAAATCAAATCAAAAATCAAATCAAATGTTTATTTAGGTAAGGTACATACATAAAAGAGATTTTACAAAGAGTGATGGATTTATAGATAGGGCTAGTACATACAATGCCTAAAGCCACTATTACGCAAAGCGTTTCGGGCATGAAAAACTTAAATGACTAAAGCTTAATACTAATTGAGCATAAAGAATAAAATGAGTTGAGAACAAATAAAAAAAGATATAAAAAAGGGGGGAACATGGCTGAAAAAGCAGCACAAATACAATTCTGTCGACAAACAGCGTCATTTAAAAAAAAACAGACATTGGTTGACAATAGAGGGGTAAGGTAGGTTACAGGGAATTTATTAGGTATAGCTTCGTTTTTATCTTAAACTGGTTGAGAGAGGTACAGTCTTTAACATGGTTGGGAAGGTCATTCCACATTCTGGGCCCCTTGATTTGTAGAGCATTTCTGGTTTGATTAAGTCGTACTCTAGGAATATCAAAACTGTATTTATTTCTGGTGTGGTGCTCATGGGTTCTGTTACAACCTTCTATGAAGCTTTTGAGATCAGGATTGGCATTATAGTTTAGCGTTTTATATATGTATAATACACATGAGAGAATGTGCAGTGACTTAATGTCTAACATATTCAGAGATTTGAGTAGGGGTACCGAGTGATGTCTGGGGCCAGAATTGGATATTGTCCTAATAGCAGCTTTGTGTTGAGTAATTAGAGGACGTAAGTGATTTTGGGTAGTAGAGCCCCAAGCACAAATACCATAGTTGAGATATGGATAGATAAGGGAGTAATAGAGAGTCACCAGGGCAGGGCGTGGTACATAATATCTGATCTTAGAAAGAATGCCCACAGTTTTTGAAACTTTTTTTGATATGTTTAGAATGTGTCCCTGGAAATTCAGCTTGTGGTCAATGAGAATGCCAAGGAATTTGCCATCTAATTTGTTACAAATTTGGGTATTGTTTATTTTGAGATTTATTTGATTAGAGGATTTATTGCCAAACAGAATATAGAAAGTTTTGTCAATGTTAAGGGTGAGTTTGTTGGCAGTTAGCCATAGATGGACTTTATTTAGCTCAGTATTTACTGTGGCATTTAGAGCAAGGGGATCAGGACTGGAGTAAATGAAGGTTGTGTCGTCAGCAAATAGAATTGGTTTGAGGTGTTGGGAGGCATTTGGAAGGTCATTAATGTAGATGAGAAAGAGGAGAGGGCAAAGTATGCTGCCCTGGGGAACACCAATGTTGATGGGTAGGGTGGGAGAAATTGTATTATTCACAGAAACACATTGGAGCCTGTAAGTAAGGTAGGATTTGAGGTATTGTAGGGAGTGTCCTCTGACACCATAATGATGTAATTTAAGAAGGTTTTGGTGGTTGACAGTATCGAAAGCTTTACGCAG